TTTCGATTATGCATAGTAAGACATTATGAATAAAAATTTAGATTCTATTGGTGTTAGAAAATCGTTTATCACTTTCTATAGAAATGCCATAAGTTGCTGAAATATTTTCCGATACTCACGGAGAAACGAAACTGCGATGAGTCTGCCTTTTTCCAGCAAAATTTCTAAAGTTTATAGTAATGATTGTACATTTTGTTGCGTATCTCCGAATGACAAGGCACCTTTTGCTACATTGGAAAAGTACTATAGATTATCGCAGAAACATTGTATTACGTTTTACGTAAAGGATACCACTGTTACTTTCCCGTATATAAAACAAAAAAATTCCGTCAAAGTGATAAAAATTAGTGAGGAAATCTATAAACATAAGGAGGAACTCATATGTCTGAATGAATTCATTTGGATGGATAAAAAATTTTGTGGTAGAAAATTCAGCATAAATGAAAAAAATTATAGTTTTTAAATTGATATTTTTTATTGGTAGGTAAAAATTATGAAAGAGTCATAAGAAATTTTATTGGCATCTTAGGATAATTGAAAAATAATTGTGCACGCAGAATTGTATAGATTCATATAATAATAAGAAATATAAAAACGGATAAAGTCTTGGAATACGTTCAATTTACGTGTATTATGAATGTAAACATTAATTAGTTTAAGCTTATTCATCGCATTACACATTCAGAGTGCATTAATCATCAGAATTTATCATAAAATGGATATTTTATTTATAATATTTCGCATACTACTACATAAATTTATTCCTCTTGATTGGAATTGCAGTAAGCATTAATTTGCAATTTGACGAGATTCTTTTATTTAAGTTTTGCTTACTCACCCATCATAAGATTTTCCTCAAAGTTTATGAATAAGAGTGGAGTAATGATGGAGGAACGAGCAGCTCTGAAATATTCGCTGTAGTAACATTATTTCATAATGCAGATATATTTCTCAGGTTTTAAGCGTCCCCGCTTTGTACAATTATTCTGGGCGATTGGGATGAGAATTACGATCGTGACCCTTTCTTTTGTCTCTCATGACTGTCGGTCAGCCGATGTCGTGTATAAGGCCGTATGTACACGAGTACGTGACGCGCGTAATTGCGATCCGCAATGTAATCTGCGAAAGGTCTCATTTCGGCCGTTTTTAATTCTATTTCTTTTCAGTTTTTGGAAAGATATATATATATATATATATATATATATATATATATATATATATATAGCGAATATGCAGAGAATAGGAGCCTTAACGTAGCGACGTGATCAGTAAACGAAATAATTTTATTGCAATCGAGGACATTGTATCATCTTGATTGACCTCGTATGAACAAGTGGACTATTCCGAAGTAGTTACGGTACTCGTGAAAGTGATTGTCTACGATATATTTCTCGTAAAATATTTGGATTCGGTCGTTTTATTATATTGTTTATTTGCATTTGATAATAAGGATCTATAACATTCGATCCAGCAGTCTTTAATAACCGTACACATTGCGGCAATTGTGCGCGTACAGTTAACTAGTGGCAACTATTTAATGAAATTAATTATGAAAATGTTGTTGATTAATTGATGAAATATGTACATGAATTATATATAAACTCTAATTACGAAACGATTGAAAGAATCAATGGCCAAGATGCAGTCATGTAATATTCGATATACACGAGTTAATTGATTTAATAAATCTTTTATGTTAAATACAAATGTTATTGAGTTTATTATGATGTAAAATATATATATATATTTTTTTTCCTAACAATATTCTTTAATAATATTTTTAAGATAGGAAATTTAAATATTCTTAGTTTGGATGCATTAGCTAGACAATTGTAAAATATTTGAAAACCTCATAGCAATTTCTAATAAAATTATTATTATTATTAAAAATACGTCGATTAAAATAGATATTTTTAAAAGGATTGTGCAGATACAAACTTTGAATAAAATTACAAGAAATACTTTATGGAAATATCTTATGACTCATTTTAAGTCATAATAACGTTATAATCACTGATTTTCAATAATCTATTTAATGCTATAGAAATATTTGTATCGTTTTAAAATTATTTACTGCAAATATGTATGTTAAATGATCTAGTAGTAAAAAATTGTATCAGTCAGGCATGAATTAATAAAAATATGCCTGTGAGCCGGTATTGATTGATAATAAAAAATTGAAAAAAAAATCCATACGGCGTACAATAAAAAGTTGTAAAAATTACTTTCCAAAATACACTATAGAATTTTTCATGTAATAAAAATGTTCAAAATGAATTCAACAGCAGACTCTTCATAAATTATTAATTAAAAATGATAATCTGCACATTAAGTATAATCGTGAACTAAGCGTGACTATATTTTCATTACAACTAATTTTTTTCTTTACTAAAATAATATCTAAATAATTTTAACGCTCTGGCAAATTGCATTAATGAAGTTTATATTAATATAAATATAAAAAAAATCCATTGCATTAATTTTTGGGAATAAATAATTATATAAATCATATGTTATTTAAGCGACAAAGCTTAACATAAATCCTATTAATATTGACGACTAATATAAAATGAATATTTAAGTATTTATAATTAGTATGATTAACATTATTAACATTATCTATAAAATTTAAATTGCACATCACGAAATGGAAAATTGTAAGAATTATTTATAGTCGTTAATTTCCTAATATATCGTTTATATTATTACTTTATAGCATATTATCCACCTTAGCTATCATTAGTCAATTATAGAGTATCGCTTGTAGTTTTTAAAGTACTCTCTTATTAAAATTTAATTATAATAATGCGTTGGATTAAAATGTTAAACATATATTATCACGTTTAACGGCCGAAACAATGGAAACTCACTGTTACGTTTCCGTAAATATTTTTCTAATTACCAAACTATCTCGGCATAGTTATGTATGCATGCGCCCGTGTGTATGTAAGAGAGAGTATAGATTGCCTAGTATGTGATATGCGATATATATTTTTTATCTTACTTTGCATCTGCTTGGTATAGTCGTAAGCACATAGATTATCAATGCAAATCTTTTTATGCTTTCATTCTTTTCATTTCCTTTTTTCGCTTTTCTCTGCGTCTTTTCTTTTTTCTGTATATACTATAGTACAAAAGACATTACAGAGATTATATGTGTAAATAAGTATCGTCTGTCTTCATCATTTTTCACTTTTCAGTAAGTGCCTGCTGATGTTAAACATTTTATTAGATGCCAATATTATTAGCTACAAATAAACACTCAATTCTAGTAATTTATCGTTTCAGTCGATTTGTATTTTGCCCAATGGTGTTACTTTTGCACGCCATTGATTCTTCCTGATATTTCATGTTGCGGTTTAAAACCGAATATGATTAAGTTACTCGTTTCTATTGCATCAGAAATATTTATTTTTTTTTTGCTTTTCGAAGGCAGTACTTAATATATGGTGTCGACTATGTTTTATGTACTTTGTATTCTTCGAAACATTTGATATTGCATTTAAGGTTGAGAAGTTGCGAATCTTGCGAGAAGGATGCGTCTCTATAATTGTGTTAGCATATAGTAATATTAGCATTAATACATATAAAAAATTAAATGGTAGTTAATGACAAATATATTAATAAACGGTCATTTGAAAGTATCCTAGCAATTCAATAATGAGTTTAAAATTTTAAATAATATTTTAATTAAAAACTGATTTCTAGTTAAATCCTGTATTTTTGTATGAAAAAAATGTTTAATCAATACATTACAATGAAACAAGCATATTTTTGTGATTTATGTTTTTTTTTTTTTTTTTTTTTTTTAAAGTAAATACGTTCTTAAACGTATTTATTGAATAATTTTAGAATTTTAAATTTCTTTAAACTTTATTTTCTACAAGTTGAATTTCAATATAAAAAACTATTTATATTTATAATAAAATTGTGAATAAATTTTTATGTATACTGAATACAATAGATAAAAATGGATATAAACGTTATTCAAAAATATTTATGCAAATAATTAAATAATGTATTAAATAAAAATTTAAGCTTGAAATTTAAAATCATTGAATTTTATATATTGAAATAAAAGATTAGACGTTAGCCATTATTGAAAGAATTTTGCCTTTATTGTAGTAAAATAATTTTGATTATAATGGGAAATAGTTTTAGATAGTAGTCGTATAATTAAATTTTAGCTGTGTTTGTAAATTTCTTTCGAAGACTGAATTCTTTAGCAGAAATTGCCGGCTATCGAGTCGCGAATTAAAAGAAGAAAAAAAAAGAAAAAGAAAATACCCGTATAGTCTGTATGTGTGTAATGTCACATGTATTGTATTATGTGTGTGCGTGCGTGTGTGAGGTTGGCAAATGAGTTGGGAAAAGATGTATATTGACGCGTATCGTAAACTAGTCGATTCGTCGCTCGAGTTGTCAAATTGACACATAGGCATATCGCCCGTGTAAAGTTGACGGCGCTTGTATCTTATCATTGACATAAGTCGCGCGTGTTACACGTATGCAAGTACGAGACGTGCCTACGAGTGTCGAAATCACTTATGATCGATCGACACGGGATATACTATTTCAGCTATAAGTTTCATTCGAAGAGCCAATGCGCTATTTTACAATTTAATTACTAACTCGTTGAATAGAATAAACCAAAGACTTAGAATAATAACCGAAGATAAATGATAGAAACGACTTAATTATGCAATAACAACATCAATAATTGTTATTATTATAATTAATTGCTTAATTATAATATGATCATTGATTAGATAATTATCGACAATTATTTAAATACGGTAAGTTTGCATTAAGCTCGTTTACAAACGCGACTGATGGCTTATGCATTGACTTTTAATTTCCGAACATATTATATTCTTGTAAAGGACTTGGCTTATGAAATCATTAAATCGACGGATGATCAAACGACCGCGCATCCATTAAATTGCAGAATGTCCATTCGAAAAGCCTCGAGAAGCCCTAAATGTTGCTTTACATTAAAGGTGGCTGCTCGTCCTTCGGGCACTCCTGCTACGGTGGACACGGGAAAAGATCGTCGTATCCAGAAGCCCTTGAATTCGATGTGGTGAGAAACGATAATGATCTTGAGATGAATTACGATCCGGATAGATCGAACGCCTGGAATCTGGCACTTCTGCCCTCCCAAGATTACGAGCGTCACGCGCAAAATACACTCAATTCAATGTACGAGCAGGCGCTTTCTTGGTCCATATTTATTAGAAAATTGGTGAGCCTCGATAGATCATTTTGTCGATTACATGTACATTGTATGAATCAGTGGTTATGTAAGTGACGCAATAAGTGGTCGTAAAGAAATAAAGAAATTTAATATAAGATGGCATGCGCATTTGGTTTATACGGCATAGTATTGTTTAAACGGAGGGAATCATGATAAATAAACTTACGGGGATAATTTTAGTACTAGTAATTTTAAAACTTTTATATATCGATTTTATTATGGCAAAAGTAAATGTCTCGCTTTTTATGATTTAAATTATTGGAAAATTTCGAAATTTTGAAAAGTCGACAATATGAAATTAAATACTATATTTTTATTTATTTATAACTGATTGATATATATTTATTGTTATTTATGATAATTGAATACTGTTAGAATTTTTTATTTGTATTATAATAATTGTATTTTACAAGTTGATGAGAAATTTCATGCAATTATGATAGTTTAAAACTTTTGCCGTAGAGTTCAATGAATAATTATATTATTTATAATTTGAATTCTCATTTACACATTTTATTCGATATATATATATATATATATATATATATATATATATATATATATATATATACATATATATATATATGAGATGAAAATAAAACGTATATTTGTATAAAAAACACTTTCACTAATACAGAATTTTTTTCAGTTGGCGCCTTTGCGACGTTCTTATATGGCCTCTCCCGATAGTAGAAATTGATTGCTTAAATAATTTTCTGTAACATTAAATTTAAAGTCATTACGCATAGAGTAATATAAAATCATTAATAAATCTACCAACAAGTCCAAAGCTTCCTTTTCACATGTTTCAATGTCTTAAACGAATAATACAATAAATCTATATATGTATACACGCACGTTCAATCTCTCACGCATGCGCGCGCGCACACACACACAGAGAAACGCACACGTACGCAAATGTATCGAAGTACACTACTATTTGACGTGCATACTTCTTTAGAAAATAGTCACAGGCATTTTGTAAAATTTTAAAAACACTAATTATATCATCCATATTTTAATTGTTTTATGAAAAGCGAATGAATTATGTTATTAATGAAAAGTATTCCTTAATAAATAAAATATTAAGCAAACGAAGATAGAATTATTGTCAATTGTAATCTATTCATTATTATTATGTAAATGGCAAATTTAATTATGTAAAAAAAATATTTATTCAATTATAAAAAAATATCACTAGATATTGATTTTCTTTTATTCAAAATTAAATTACACTTATACCAGTGCTAGATCATTTCAATATTTATTGTAATGAAATAATTAAAATTGCTAATAATAAATTATTACCTATTTATTTATTATAGTTAAAAATTGGAAAGTAGTGAAATATATAATAAACAGTATTAATATTGAAATAATTAAGAATTACAATTTATATAAATAAAGAAATATGTTTTTATTAATTAATTATATAATAAGTACTTTGAGAAAGTTTTAAAATAAAAAATTAATGCTCATAGATTAATATTAACCATTTCTGACATTTAGTGAATATTAGTATAAAATTAAAAATTCAATAGAACCTTCATTATAGTTTACTTTCAATGGTTTTAACAACCATAGTAATTCTAGTAAATTGTAAAATTTCGTCGAATGGCTGTATAAAATATTTTAATTCTTCTCTCGGACTAATTTAACTTGTTCGCTAAAGCGTATTATAATGTTTGAATGCTCATTTAAAATTTTCTTATTTAACTTAATTATGATTTATATTTAGCGAATATTTTTAATATTAATATGACTTATTTTTCCCGCATATTAATTAAAATTATCCTTCAAGTATAATTACGAAATTATTAACTTATCTATCCGATTAATTATTCTTTGAACATTTTAAAATCCATTTCCATTTGTTGTTTATCATTCATAACTGATTAAAATTTTGGAATTATTCTAATTCATATGTATTTATTTAATAACTAATAACGTATCCATTGTACAGTCTAATACTTTATTAATCCTTAAGTATTTTATTATTTGGTAAGAGAAAAACAGGAAAATGGTGTATCCAGTGAGATTATGTTACATAAATTAATATTTAACATTCTGTATAAATAATTATAATTACATGGGCATAAATTACATAAATAGTACACATTATATAATTTTTTATATATAGCCGATGATCATTTCATATATATTTTCAATATTATTTATATACATATTATTATTTATTCATTTTTTTTTGTTTTTTTGTTTTTTGTTTGACAATAAAGTATACAGATTAAATAGATGTTGTATTGTAGCATAATACTTCAACAAACTTTCAGGAACGATTATTTGACTAATCTAAAACTTTATATTTATTTTGTTTTAGTGTAAAAATAATGGAATTCTTATAATATTATATTATAATGTATGATCAGGATTGCACAAAATCTTAAATAATATATATTTATATATAGCAATTTAATTTAAGGAACAACTATTTAAATGTATCGAATCATTTTCCTACTCGATGATTAAAATTGTCAAATTACGCCATCTTTTACACTTTCTGATACAACATTGTAATGTTGATAATTTAGGAATCGCCTTTTACATTTATCTACTTGAGGTAAATTTTTTTTTTCAAAATCTTTTTAAAATCATTTTAAACGGAACATATTATTATTTTCTTACAATAGTACATCAAAAGACCATAAACAAATTAATAGTATATGTAAGTTAAGATAAATTATACTAAAGAGGTAGTTAATTTATAAATTTTCATACCATACATATGTGTTAATTTATTTAAAAGAAAAAGGAAAGACTATCAGTGTAGTATTTTTACATATTAAGAAATAAATTTGATTCATTTTTGAAGCATTTAATTTATTAAGAAATTTAAGAAATGGTTACATATTAATAATATTTTTAATATTATGCTCCATAATACAATATCAAACAATTCTTAATATTTAACAATACAATGAAATAAATCTGTATGCGAAATAAAAAAAAAAGCAAAACAATAATTAATCTCTTATTTTTTAATTACAAACCAATATTATTTAAGTTTAAAACCATATTAAAATTACCAATTTTACATTTAAACTTGAAAAATACAACAATCGCTTGATACAATTTGTCTTTGTTACTTAGGCTGAAGTCATTTATAAGCATGTTATTTCTAAATTTAATAGCATTTAATAATTTCACTGAGCCGTTTAGAAATTTTATTAAAATTTTTAGATGATTAGATTCTAATTGCGCCAATGAAATTAATACAGCTAATTTTTCATCCATATGGATGAAAATACTTTATAACAAACATTAATAAAATGTATACTATGTTTTTATTAAACTTACGTTCTTATGTTTAATAATCAATGGAAGGTGAAATATGTTAAAAAACTGTTTCATTTTAAAATTTTTAAATGCAACACACTATCATTTTTATTTATTTAACTATTCTCTAAAAGAAAATATGATTTTGCATATAAATATTTCTGATGAAATTCATTATTTTTAGTGCAAGCGTAATTTAACTCTTTAAAAATTGGTAATGCAATTTTCTAATGTTGTGTGGACGAACTGCAAAAATATATATTTGAAGATTTTATTTGAAGAACTCCGTCTTCATATTATTCAATTTAACATTTGCAAAATTACAAAAAATAAACGTTGTCACAATTTTCGACCCACACACACACACGCGCGCGCGCGTGTGTGTGCGTATTATAAATAATTATTTCGAGGAATGAGTTTTTATTTTTGATTGAATAATTTTGATAGAATTTGAATTTTTTTTAAGACAAAAACTTCCCTTTCAGACTGAACAAATCAACGTAATTATATAATATAAAAATATTTTGTTGAAATCTTAATCATCTAATGCTGTGAGATTGTAAGAAAATGGAAGATGTCCTTATTTCAACTTGTCGTCAATATTTTTCTAAAAAAAAAAAAAAAAAAAAAAAAAAAAAAAAAAAAACAAGTGTTATTACAAGTATATGTAAACATTGTTATATATACATATATATATATATATATATATATATATATATATAAATTTATTTATATTGTTGAAAAATATCTTACTAATATTTTATACAGTTCAACGTTTATTGCCTGGTCGTCTTCATTGTTGAAATTTTTGCGACTTGGAGATAGCATATTTTTCGGTGAAATGTCTTCATTTATATTTGAATCTCCTTTCGTATTGTCTATTATATTCATGTCATCCGAAAAATTATCTATGGCAGGACTATTTAATTCGTCAAAATGTAGCAGTATAATATTCTTGTGAAGTTTAAAATTATATTATTTACTAGAAAAAATGTTTAAGTCGATTGCTAATAGTAGATATTGTCTTGTAATTAACTTGTAAAGTAAGTTTTAATGCATAAATTGTACAGAAAGGGAGAAAATTTAACAATAACTTCTTAGAAAGATAATCTATTGATAATAAATAATATAACGTGCTTACGTTATATATATTTTTATTTTCTATGGAAATGTGAATAATATAAAAAATTTAATTCAATACAAAACTTTTTATAGCGCAATCTATATGTTTCTTTTTTAAAATATATATATTATGTTTATTTTCGATCAAGTTTTTAATTGTATTACACTATATATTTATTATTTCGCAAATATGTAACAAACAAATTTTAGTAAAACAAAATACACAAGAGAAAGAGAGAGAGAGAGAGAGAGAGAGAGAGAGAGAGAAAGAAAGATGCTGATGTATTAAGAAATGAAATTTTAATGAACTTAAGAAGCAGATAGATTTCAGTAAAGATTTTGAATCTTTAAATTATCATAGAAAACTAGACTATTTTTACAACATTTATTTAAGCGTTTATTTACTTATATAAAGTAAAAAGGTAATTTATAAAATATTTATTTTTAAATATTTTTTTAGTTAATATCTAAGAAGTATAATGATGAGAATATATAAAAATTCTATTATCATTTTCACATGAATAAATTAACATCGAATTACTTTATATTACTTTAATGATTAATAATTTGACATATAAAATTTATTGCTCTCGAAATGATTTTGATAATTTTAGTAAAATATTAAAGAGTTGTCTCATAGTTTTTGTAGAAATTTGGTATTTACATTACTACTTGTACTAGCCAATGTAAAATTGATAAACTTTTTATTGTTTAATTCATAAATATTCCTCTACTGGTTTTAACAATGTCTTGCATAATAAATTGTTTCATATTATATATATATATATATTTTTTTTGTTTTTTTTTTTTGTTTTTCATCTAATAACACGTAAGTATCAAATATCATAGAGTATTTGTAATTTTAATTAAAAAATAATTTACCACAATACGTAAAGTCTTCTACAGGATAATGGAATTAAATTTAAATAAGTTATATTAAATTTAACTCGCATTTATAATGCCGAGACTACTTTTAAACTTTAACAAGTTTATGTATGTACTGAAATTAGAGTAGAATAAACTCTGAATTCACATGAATAAGAGAGATGGATAATATCCTTCGAAATTTTAGAGAACTTTGTTAGCTGATTGTTAAGAAAAGAATATACATCTAGATTGATAATGTTAATATTATTTGAATTAAATACATTACACATTTATCTATCTCTATCATATGTTTATTAATGATGAATGAGAATTATAAAATTTAGCCTTTAACTACATCATTATCATACAAGTAATTTCAATCTTACAAAGTACAAACATTAGAGAGAAATATTATTACCGAAACGCAATCTACTCAATTCGTTTTATACTTTGATTTCTCAACTTTTACTGTAAGTTTCCATACTACATCAGTCCGAAGAATTAATGAAATTTTAAGAACAAAGGCAAATAAAAGGCAAACAACATTGGTATATACATCCGAACGTATAAAGATTCGTTGTAATAATATGATCCAGTAAATATCCGTAAAAGGGGCAATATTTATGTGCAAATTACAGCTTTTTCGGTGCATCTCGATAATTAAAAAGGAACTAATTATCTAAATGTAAGTCGAGATAATGTATGAATAATTTCGTAAACCTGGGTGACATCATCCCCTCGTCCCCTCCCCAGTATCGAACCACATTAATTAGGCAAACAATACTAAGTTAAATGCTCACCTCAGCCTCGGCTCGGTGAGCAGGGACATCTCGGGCATCATCCTGGGCCTCGACCGCGGACTCAGTGCCGCCTGCCGGTTGACCATCCGCGAGAAGAAGAGCCATCGGCTAGCCAAGCCCGAAGGGCCGATCCTCCTGTTGCCGGGGTCGGACTCAGGATCGTTCCGCTTCCCGTGAGCTGAAACTTCCGTTTGTTAGGAGAAATCTACACCGGCCGAACTACACTACTTCGCACTTTATGTGCGCGCGTCTAGAGAATCGATTACTCCTTCTCTCTCGATCTTTATCAAGTACGAGCCCTGTATTTGCATTTTTGCCTGGATGAAATTAGCCGACGATAAATAAACTTATTCGAGGCAAATTTTCTTCACAGTAGTTTTCTCATGGTGTAAGTTTGTTTTACGCGAATTACATATCCATATGCATTTATACACATATATTGGTTATATTCGAGCAAATACGATGCAATGGAATGAAAAATTGTAAATTCTTTTTAGGTTTAAACTGAGCCCAATAAAGGTGATCAAAGAGCTTTATATCAATCATGAATTGCGTAGATGAGGGAATCGTTGGAGTATAAATTAATTTCTTTTTATTTATACTTACCGCCCCAACAGGAGTGACCATAACTTAAACAGGAACCTGAAACTCGAATTAAAAATGTATCATTGTTAAGCGTTTGTAAATGGCTAATGCTTTTATAAATTAATTCAATCTATTCAATACAATAATATATTATTTTCAATATGATTGGAAATAATACAAACATCATCGAGTCTCGATAAAAGTCTCGATAAACATAAGGCAAAGTTAGTTTGGTATAGTTTATTTTCTATCGATAGATAAAAGTCAGAAAATTTGAAAATTTGAAAGAATTTCTTTCAATCATACACTATCGAATAATTTTCTTATAAGGCTTTTCTCTCTCTCTCTCTCTCTCTCTCTCTCTCTCCCCCTCTTATATATATATATATATATATATATATATATATACGCTAAGTTTTCACAATTTATAATTTTCCTTGCATGCAAGTACTTCTATACGTAATTATGAGAACGACAACAACATCTACGTAGGACGTTGTGAATGAAAATTAAAGCTTCGGATGCAGCTTAAACGCATTGAGCCGCTTCTGGACGAAAATTAATGGCGTCGATAACATTAACACTTTAAAGTAAGGGCTCCAAGCGTATCGTGTGACATAACAGTAAAGGAAGGGACCTATCAATGTAAAGCGGAACAAGATGAGAATAAACGCGACACATAATGCGTGAAAATGACCGGCCATTGAAAGCATTCTAATCGGCGAGAGAGAGAGGGAGTAGCAAGAGTAGGGGTGGGGACAGGAAATCGAAGCAACAGTCGTCCTCCGGGGACACGAAGTCGCGCGCGATGTTTTTTTTTTTTTTTGCTCGACATTGTAAAGCTTTGGCGCGATTGGCCACGTAGATCAACAGGTACCACTCGACCTGGTATATTCCGGCGATTATGGCATCTAGAAAAAGCACCTGCAGATACTTTTCAACAAGGAGTCTCGTTGCCCCCCCCCCTCTCACTCACTCACTCTCTCTCTCTCTCTCTCTCTCTCTCTCTCTCTGTCGCAGCTCCATCCTTTATGACTATTTCTCCGGTCGTTTTTGTTTTCGCGTCGGGGGATCAAGGCTATACTTTCCGATTCTCGATAGAGTTATTTTTTCATTATACGAGAGCTACGAGCGAGTGTCGCTATTTCAAAACTCGAAAGAAAAATAGACTTTTGAAAGGTCGGGAGTAGGACATAAGTGAAACGTCTTTAATCGCGTTATTATTTAACAATATTTCTCAAGTAAATATCGTTTATAACTTTTTTTTACGCGTCCCATTTAATTTATTAAGCTGAATAATAGGAAAGAGCTTTTCGACGATGAGTAATGAACGCGAATCAGTTTTCTTCTAAAAATAAATACGAAAGAAAAGAAAAGAAACCATAAAAGGAAAAAGAAAGAGAACAATCAAACTATTGTAGTTGATATTAATAAAAGATGTTGAAAGTGCTTAACTTTTAAAGTAGCACATGCAAATAAGTAGTGTCGTGCCCTCGCATACATCACCAACGATATCCGATATTAAGGCCAATATTTTTCTAAAGTTTCTTCATTAGGTTTGACGTTATTACCTTAACGACTACAATAGCAATTTTGCTGACCATTACGCTATACTTATCACCGTATAAAGCCAATCGCACACTATTCGTGTCTGTACAACGCTATTGGAAAAGCTACAGAGATTATTTTTAGCCGAAGCTCTTTATAGGTTAATGTGTATAAGCATATTTAATCATTTTGCTAAATGTTAAGAAATGAAAATTATATGCATAAAGTATCGTAAAAATGAAAATAATCTTTTAAGGAAACTTTGTTTAACTTTGTAGGAACGTTATTGTACGTCATGCGTTCGCATGATTAGGATAAAAATTTTACAATCTGTTGCAGATATAATAAAGAGTATGATTTCAACATTTATCATTTAATTATTTAAGATATTATGCGTAGACTAGAGAATCGTATAACATTTATTTGAATTGAAAATTTATTCGCCTTATTGCATGCTCAAATGAATGGCCATTTTAGTCATTAAATATTACTTTATTTTTAAAGGAACATTAAAGGAGCGCAGTTTCAATGAATAAAATTCAATTTAATATGTATAAGAAAATCAATCGACCGCAACTGTTTGCGTTTATATAAAGGTAGTAAGATCTGCTCAACGAGTTTACTCTCAACATCCAGATCCGTAAAATAATAATAACTAAAAATATGATTATGTTATTACTGTAGTCTTAGCCTCTCCCGGTAGAGTCATAAAATAAAGCAGATTGTCATCCCGTAGACGAATTTAATTTTCTGTCCAAGTCCGCAACGTAGTATTTGAACTCTGTTCTGCTTCAATAAATTACTCCAAGTTTGTAATAGAATAAATAATATGCATTAATACATAAATTGCATTTATATTTGAAATTTTAACTAAATTTAACACTAAAGTAGACTAGAAATCTAATATTAAATTACGAATTGTTTTTTTGTTTTTTTTTTTAATTTTTTATTTATTCATTTATTATTATTTTTTTTTTTTTATTGAACTGATTTAAAAAAAAATATATGAAAATTTACGAACTGTTAAATAACTCCAATAAAATTTAAAAGTATTTTACAAATTTCTACGTGAATTTATAAAAACAAAAGTGCACTTTTTATTTTAAACAATGATTTATCGAAGCTCGAAGGTAAATTATAAATGAACAAAATGTCTTCACAGTATATTGGGAGCAAAATAAAAATGGCGCTTTGTATACCGAAAGCAATGTACGTCATGTTATAAGAATTGTTATATTCCATACGTATGTACGGAATATCGATTAATACGTAAATCAATCAATCATTCAACAAAATTGTCACTCGATCAAATTTTCCACAACACACAATAGTAATTATATTGCTATTTTATTGTTTATTCATTCTTTCCTTTATTAATCTATTATTAATAATTTTAATTAATAACGATTACTTCAAAATTGACAAAAATATTGAATCTTTTATCCTCCGTCATTTCATTAAAAATCAATTATTTGAAAAGTGGCGTTAATAGGCAATAGAAAGCACCATCTTTTGGCAGCTTGAGTAATGGAAAAGTAACTAGGATTCGGATAATTCAGATAATTTTAATAAAAGCAACTGACTAGTGTATTAACACTTTCATGTTTATTAAGTATTACCTGACACTTTTTTTTATTTATTTATTTTTTATTTAGTATATTTGTCAGATAAGTATGAATAAAGTTATATAATCATTCGCTATTGCATAAATTGATAAATCATTTATGTATCTACGAAATCTGATGACTAAAATTGTTTCAGAGAGAGAGAGAGAGAGAGAGAGAGAGAGAGAGAGAGAGAGAGAGAATTCTAATCGAAGTAAGCGGAATGAATCCGAGAGAATATTTCTTTTTCATGAATAAAGTAATTTTATCTTAATATTTGGATTTATAATTTATATTTTGAATTTATTAGAATAGCCTAAGGAGATTGAATATCTTATTCTCTGTCTCATTGTATATAAATTAAATCTTTGCAATAAAGCATATTTAAGCATGTAATAATTATTGCTTTAATATGCCTCAATTAACAACAACATTCGGCTGTCGTAGAATTATATCAAATAACTACATTAAATACGAGATTAAACGTGAAATTATTAAAAGCCAAAGTATCGAAAATCAACAGCTAATAAAAATTTTTCATCTTTAATAAACTGGGAAATGGTTTCTTCTGTATATAATGATTATTATGGAGTATCGAGACCATTTATAGGCGTAGACGTAGCGTTCGTCTCTTTATGGAACGCTTTGGCTTTACTATGTGCACGTGCATGAGAAAATGCAAAATACAAGTACTTGGGTATCCTGGCAGTTTATGTCTTATGAAATACTGGAGTAGTTGCGATAACCGCTTTCTCTTTTCCATTGTGTAATGCGAATAACTCGGGGGTAAATAGATATAGTCGGAGGAATTTCGTTGAGATCTCAGTATCGTTGAAAAATTCTGAAAACTCGAATACTGCGACGATGAAATAGTTATGATTTTGTAAAACAATAGTATAAAAAAAAAAAAAAAAAAAAAAAAACGAAGATTTCTTCGGTGGCTTTTAAAATTAAAAGGTCCTATCGAAGCTTTTGAGTAAATTTTTCATTGGTTAATTCATTTGATCGAGTATATTATATCATATTGATTTAATTTCTATCCATAGCTATCCAAAAGCATTTGTTTTCCCATTAGATGATTTACATATTTTAAAAACACATAATTAATCTGCCAAATCTAAGGAGCAATAAACTTTTAGTTGGGCTTTTTAAAGCTTAAGAAAAAATAATGTTTATCGATATATTACCCATAATTTGCACATTATCATTATGGTGAATGTAATTTAATTGCATTACGTATATAGTCTTTACAAGCTAGTAATTCTTACGTAAATGTACATTTAATTTATATACAATGGAAATTTAAAGTTTCATATACTTGTTATGCTAAAATAAAAATACATGCAAAGACAATATTCTAAATCCATAGAATTTCTATTTTATTTTGCACGTACGTCAGATTTTTATTCGAACAATTTTTTAATCTTTCCATTTTCATCACATTAAAATATAAAAAATATAAGAAATATAAAAAAAGTCATTTTTAATACTAAATTCATGAGTGTATTTTATTCATTACGATGATTCGATTAATTCAGTAATTTTACGAACAATATTAATAAATGCATATTATTTTTTAATTTAAATCGAATGTACAGTTATATTTATAATTTTTTTTTTAAGTTCGTTAAAAAATACGTCGATGAAAAATGATTTCAATAAATATAGAGAAACTGTTTACTTAAATTATATAGGAATGAATAGAGTGAAGATTGTATTGCGAGTTACAAAGTTTTTTTTTTTGCACATTAAGACCACCATATTTTGCCAAATACTTTTTTTTTTTAAAACAATCCCTTTCATTCCGTGTGCCAATTGCAAAAATTTAATTGGTCTTGATGAATTATTCTAATTTCCAAAAGCGATAATTAAAAAATTTTTTTTATTATTAGCTTAACATAATAATGGTCCTATAGATTTTCAATATTTCATATAATCTACCTATATTTATAGATAAATAATTACCGTTAATACTGTATTGATTCAAACGATATACTATTTATTTTCTTCATCTTTTTTTTTTTTTTTTTTTTTTTTTTTTTTTATAATGTTTCATCATTAATTTAATTGAATAAAGTGTAATTAATCTTTTCACAAAATGTTTCTTCAACACTGCCATAATGTAGCGCCATTAACATTTCTCTCACTATTGTTCTTTAATCGTTTAATATATTCATTGCTTAATGGGAGGACGAAAAGCATATAATATATTGGAATATTTGAAAAACTATTATAAGTTATACCTGCTGCACATCCGGCGAAAGATGAGATTAATACCAATACAGCGATGAAACAATATATTTTCGACAGAATGATTAATTCGGCATTTGATCGCATTTTTACACAGTGATATTAATTATCACGTCTCCGTTGATTTGATCTGAAACAAAAAACATTCACAATTTCATTATTAATTTATAAATTTTGTACATATTATTATTCCAGTAGATGTAGTATACGTACGATCCTTAATATACATGAACCAACTTTCGGTGAGTATTATAGAAATATTAATAACTAATATTAATTATTATTGAGCATCTATTTATTCAATTATTCTTAAATAAGATATATTTTTTATAATCACATGTCTAAAAAAGTATTTGTACTTAATAAATATTTAACTAATTTCTTATAACATTTGTCCACATTAAAAATAAAAAAATATATTGGCATTATATATTGCTTTTTAAATATACTTGTATATTATTTATTTATTTTTTCAATTATCGGATTATAGGATGTTTATCGGCACTTTATATTATGTTTATCAATAATCATAAGTTGTTTGTAAGATTAAATATATATTGAGTACAATAAATTGAATAATTTTATATTTGAATTTATAATAACAGTCTGTGATTAATTTCAACGAAGCCAATGAATTCTTCATCATTATTCACGATAACTTGATTTATCCATCATCTCTATTCTGATTTTATATACTTTTTTTTTATCGAAGTACTTAAATAATGTTAAAATACAAATGAATATTCTTAATATTATAGCACTTTTACTAGAAAATCTGCTAACATACTTGGCTTAATAACTTCGAATTTAAATAATATGCACATTAAAGTTTCTCGCTACATGAAATTCATTATTTTTACATGAAAATGTTTAGAGGTAGATTATTTAAATGTTGGTTTATCTTCAATTTATTGTTGTACTTTCCTACTTTAAATTAAATTTGAATAATACAATAAGGTAGGGAGAGTCTGTACTACATCGATAACAATTTCTTTAGGAATTTTCGAATTAATATAATCTAAGCTATTGTTTTTGTATTTACTTTATTTGCTTTATTATGTAATGGATAGATCTATTGATTTAGAAGATTGCGAAGAAATGTATTCAATTTTATTTGATCGAATTACTTCGAAGGACTAACTTCTCATTACATTTACCGACATAGATTATTAATGCTGATCGAAATTAATATTTGCGTTGCTTTATTGAATCTTTAGTAGATGAAATTGAAGTTAAGTATTGAAATACCTTGAATTCCTACCCTATATGCTCGTATTTACATATAAATACATTGGAAATTGTAAAAATATAACAATTCACTTTAGAAAATGTATTCGAACAAATACATTTCTGTTCGGAGTGCATACATTGGTAATTTCACTTATATGATATATTCGGATAATAATAATAATAATAATAATAATAATAATAATAATAATAATAATAATAATAATAATAATAATAATAATAATAATAATATGTTAAAATTTTAATCAATAACAACGATTTTCACTCATGCAGTAAGCAATCTTGCATTAATTTGCTGCCTCATTTGTAATTTAATAGCTTATTCACAATTGGCCACTGTTCAAACACGAAAATTCAACTTCGTTTCACCATTCTTTAATTGACAAGAAAAAAAATAAAATATTTTTCAAGTAAATCGTTATTCAAAATATTATTTAATTTTTATATGGGCAAAATGATTTATAGTTATTAAATTTGAATAGTGTATTTATAATTGTTATTATTTATAATAACAGAGATATTTAAATAATAGAAAGAACAATAAACAATGTTTGCTCAAAAATATAGTTCATAAGCTGAATAATTCAACAAAATTATAGCAATAATATAAATAATACTAATGTTCTTAGCAAATATTGAAATATTTATTATTAAAATCTATATTCCGAGTAGTTATCAACAATTATAGATTATCAATTAAATAAATCAAATATATGTGTATTGATTAAGGTATCGATTATTGATAAAGAACTATTAACATTGCATTATAAAGATAATTTGATTATAAAAATCATTCTTTATAAAAAGCAAAAAATTAAATATAATTATTAGAATATTATTTTCATTTGGTTTTCTATTATAATTATTATTGCACTTTAGTATCTAGTTTTTAGTAAAATTAATTCTTTTAGAATATGAAATATATTTTCAAACTACACTTCATACTTTATTTTCAAATGAGAAAATTCCTTTTAAGTGACTTAATGCAATAAAAAATTTACCCAAATATCAATTAAATATTGTGAATTATGTTATGAACCTGATGATGTATTAATAAATTCTTCATTATACCTTTTTATCATAATTTCATTAAATAAAGATGAAATATTGTATTTAATTTTTTAATTAAATAAAGCATAATGTTAAATATTAGGCAACCAACTTATGATTTAATGATTAAAAATTGATTTACAAATTTTTATTTCTAATATGTCTTAATAAAATCTTTGACAGTAACTGATTTACAAAAAACATTTATTATAAAATTTCATCTATCTTGCTGTTATCATTTTGCATAATTGATAATTTTATTTAATTAAAAAATTTTGTTTTAATGTAAATATTTTTTAATTAAAAATAAGAAATATGAAATAAGAATTGATATACATTTATGGTTTTACTAATATTAATAATATATGCTATTTAATTTATTTTGCTGTTCTTATTGCTTTGGATTTTACTTAAAATCGATAATTATCTTAATTATTAACGTTAAACAGAATATGTTACTGTTCTAAAATAAAGATTTTTTTCAATACATGGCACGTGGATCTTTTAATGTGATGACTAAGAAGTGCCATTAAGAAGAACTCTTGTCAGAAGTTTAGGAATTATTTAAAACAATTGTACAATTTAATAGCAATCTACAAGTAGCATTAACAAGCAAAGAACTAATGATTTAACAAAGCATTCAAGTTTTCTGATTAGATGAAATTCATTTTATATCTAAATTATATAGAGGATTTCAGTGTCTCGTATATGCATGCATACTTAAAAAGGTTAAGGTTTTTTATATTTGTGAATTCACATTTGAATCAAATCTCAATACTATGGATATCGATTAATTGATTTTGAAGCTGAAAATAATTGTGCAAATAATATAAAACTCACCATCCTCGCAACAGGTTTATTTTGAGAAATGAAAATATGTTGTAGTATTACTTGTAAATATTAAGATTATAATCAATGAACCGATATGTTATTAATAACGTCGGTGTCCGATAATTATGAATTATGTATTAACATGTTGTTTAGTCATTGAGTAATTTGAGTAATAACAGCGAATAATTAATTGGAGATATTCACCGAAATTGAAACGTCCTTTTATAAATAAAGAGTTAGCAATCTCGATTGACTCGATCATATGCATTTAGGTTCCGACAGCACCAGCCGATTAGGTTCCGCTTACGTCCGGCACCAGAACTACAAACTTTCCCATTATAGAAGGTCAAAATGTATCACTTGGCGTGCCGCTCGCAACTTCAACTGCAATAGGTACATACGAGCAGTAAGGATTGACTCGTGTGTGCGTGTGCGCGTGTGTGTTTGTCTGTGTTTCCGCGTGTGTGTATGAGCGCGAAATGAAAGGTATCATGCACTGATAGGTTCATTAAAGTACGTTAATTCGCTCTCTCTCTCTCTCTCTCTCTTTCTCTCTCTCTCTCTATCTCTCTCTCTCTCTCTCTCTATCTCTCTCTATCTCTCACCGCAGTTCAGCGCTGCTGTTAGCGCCGTAATAGAGCGACAGCCAAGCAGTCTGAAAATGGAATAACTGGACTTGATTTGGCGCGCGCGCGTCGACGAAGATGTGCCGAAGGGTGCGCACCTGAACTCGCCGGGAGATGCTGTGCACGAGGGCTTTTATAGAACTCTTCCAGGGGTGAAGTGGCAGACGGGGGTATGACAGCGGGTAGGGCGGGGTGGGATCGAGAGTGTTTGAGGGATCACCCTCGTTGGTATCACGAGCGGTGGGGAGGGGGGATGAGGTGTCCCCCGCCGAGCCGACAGCGCACCTCCTTCACGTCCCCCCTCCATGGGCTGGGGCGACTGGAGATCGCGCACCTGAGTTATTTGCGCGCACCTGAGTTATTTGCGCGCACTTGTGCTTAAAATTTTCTTTGGGGGATGACACTCTTGGCGCGAATTATTTATTCTTACACAGCAAACGGTTTCCTCTCCTCGAGAATTTCATCGATTAAAAAAATTGATTAAAATTTTTTTCACTAACATAATTTTAAAACATTGCTTAATATCTCGAGCAATAAATGATATAAATAAAGCTAAGTATATGAAAGGAAATTGGAAAATGATAAAGAAGCGCTATCAGGTATTTACAAATGTAAATAAGTATGACGGTAGTTGAGATTTCGATAATTGTGAAGAATCACATTCTTCAGTTAAAGAGCATCTCGCGGTTAAGTTTTAAAAGTCTATCCAATAAGCAATAAAATAATATTTTAAAATTGATTAAAGTTTAACGAAGTATCTGATATAAAAATAAAAAATGTAATAATCGTGTATCGTATACAATTAGAAGAAAAAAAACTAAAGAATATGAATAGTTAGAAAAACAATGTTCTTTGATACACACACACACACATATATATATATATATATATATATATATATATATACATGTGTGTGTAGGTATAAACAATTTTAAGGAACGATTGACTTTAGGCAATAATCCTTATAATTTTTATAATTGTTATCATGTGCATTACAGATATATGTATATCCTGTTTAGTTTTACTAGCTTGTATGCTTTACTGATTATAATCCATCTATAGCTATACACGTGAAATATATCGTCCTTGTAATATACAGGATTTTACAAGCTCTGTAAGTAAGTTTGCGTGCATTTGCATTAATACAGAAAATATAAAAGCGGCGAGGTAAGTATATATATCGATAATGTCTTACTGCGAGGTAAACTTAGCTTAAATTTAATAAACATTATATAAATTTATATAATTTGTTAGATTAAATTTTTGTATATTAAGCTTTAAAGTCTTAATACAAAGTATTAATTTTTCTATTTTCATATATTTTTAGGCATTAAAGTGCGATTTAATGAAAGAATTATTCTGAATAATA